ATAACATTAATTAAACACAAAACACATTAAACGAAGAACAACAAACACAAAACAACTAAAGAAACAAATTGTAGCCGTCGTTCTCTATCGTTTTCCTCTAATGCCTGTACTTTTTGAGGAATGTATGGCTTGAATTTGTGATTTTTCAATACTGCATGTACAATTCTCTTTGATGCTTTATTATTATTAGAAATTTCCCGAATGGAAGTTCCTTGGGTTTTTTTCAATGTTAAGAAGAACATTGAACTCGATGTTTTCATAAAATTGGCGTTCTTCTCGCTTTGGTTTCTTAAATGCACCATAGTTTCTCAAATTTTCTTCAAGTTTTACAAATCTACGTGGTTCTGGAACTTCTCTTTGAAGAAATAGTTCTCTGTAAAGACGGACTCCTACACCACGATTTTTATTACACCGAAAGTATACCTGAATCATGTCATTGATTATTACTCATATTCTGCATTGTCGAGCTTATTTCAATAAATAATCTACTGTAAATGACACAGAAAGAGTATAATGCGTAAAAAAATGGTAATATTTTCATGGTTTTTCTGTAATACCTACATGTTTCACAAAAATAGACTTTATATATATCGTTGAATTCAGAATAGAATTCTTCACAATAATAAATTAAAAAAAAACATATATTGCCATTTGAAAAAAAAGTTGACTATCGCTTTTCAAAAAATAATAATAATAAATACGCCCCAATAAGCTCACTCTATAGTGTATTTAGAGCCATTTCATATAATTTTTTGTTTTTAAAAATCAGACTATAAATGACAGAGTTATGGCTTGCGGCGTTTTTTAGGAGACATGCTGTATAAGAGCTGTAACCTTTATTTTTTACATTTTTTTTATCTTTTTTCTGTCACTCCAATTCAGTGAGGTAGATAATAATATACATTCATTTACCCCTTTCTTGTCGAAAATACGGACATAACGTCGGCTTTTTCCAATAAAAAGCTGTCGGGGTAGGCAAACAGCACCCATGGAGAGATAGTAGCAAAGCCGGGGCCCCACCATATCCAAACAAACCTCGAGTACACACGGCAGTCAGTGAGAAAGCACCGCCGTAGGTGTGCGTACCTCGCCTTCGAGCAGGTGATCGAGAGCGGACACATACAGGGCGTTGCAACGCGCCGGACGTTGTTGTGTGCATCAGCTGTGCTGTGCAGGTACCACCAGTGGAGGATAGGATAGAAAGTTTGCGGTAAAATACGCATTCTTGGCGTAAATGCCAGCCGGTCTGCGGTTTTTGCGAAATCGGCGATTATACTGTTGCGGTAGTGTGAAACTATCGCGATTTAATGGTCGTACAGGGTAGCCAAAAATGGCATAAATCGGCGCGTGTCAAAAAGTTATTTCAAAAGCTTAGGATCTGAGACGATAAATTATTACTAACTATCTTTTACTTCGAAAAAGTAAGTTGTTGAGGCGACAGACACGGTATTATACAGGGTGAGTCAGGTTTTTGTAGTAAGACTTTAACAGTCGATGAAAGATGGACATGGACTTGGGATGTAGAACACTTTGTTTTTGATATACATACACGGTTAAAAAAAATTCTTTTCCAAATTTCACTCAAAACTTAGTAAAAAGAATAAGGTTCTACTTTGGCAGATGAAGTTCCGATTTGAAACTCCAAAGATCCAATTTTAGATCCACTAAAAGTGTACTTTTAGAAAAACTAAATTGATCAGTTTTTTTTTTTTCCGATAAACGCAGTATTGAGTAAATTATGAAAATTCGGGATATCTCATATCTTCACATCTAAACTCAGTATGAAAATCACAAGATGTGAAGTAGACAGACAAAGAAGCAATAATCAGACAAGGGGCACGTGGAGTAATACTGAACTTTATTTTTTATTAAAATTATCCTGACTTGCCCCAGGCTATTTGTCACATTTTTTAATTTTTATACGATATCGATATGAAATTGTGATTTCATATGTACCTAATATAGTACAGCCATTGAAGCTGAAAATCAGCTGTAACCTCCGAATTCTCTTAAACTGCATGGATTTGCATGAAAATATAGAATAAGGCTCATCTTAGGCTCAAGTTCAAAAGTGACATAAGCCCGATTGACGCTTTTTGTTTTTTTAGTGGTAAAAACTACCCCTAAGTGAAAAAATTTAAATAATTAAGTTTTAAGCATTTTATTGATAAAAATCTTATTCAAGCACAAAGATTAAATAATGTTCCATGTTCTCGAACATGTTTTATGATATATATGATCTTTTCGACCATTTATTTAACCCTTAAAAACTACTCCTATGCTAAATAAAATAACTTTTTAAAGGTTTGGAATGATTAAATCGTGCAATTATTTATAATAAAAGTTACTGCTAATTGCTAATAAAAGAATTTTTCTCTTTCAACCCCTAAAAACCACACCTGTATTGACAAAAATGATAAAAAATTATTTTTTAAAAGCTTGGAATGCTGTAACGATGCAATTATTTAAAATAAAACTTCCCTCGTTGCTTATGAAAGAATTTGTATCTCATAACACTTTTCAACCTTTATAAATCACCCCTGTGTAAAAAAAATGATAAAGAATTACGTTATAAATCTTGGAATGCTATAATTGTGCAATAATTTAAAATAAAAATTCCCTTATATTGTTTATGAAAGAAAATTTTATTTTTTGCCATTTTCAACTCTTATAAACTACCCTTTTACCAATATTAATGTAAAATATTTTTATCATAATCGATTTTTAAATATAATCAATCATAAAAAAAATTGCTACGCTGTATATAAATAATCACACTAAATTTTTTTACTTATTTTATTTGTATAATACATACAGGGTAGGAAAGTACCGATGGTCTATCTGAAGTTACGTGAGAGCGATAAAGTAAGCCATAGAAATACATGCGATAGAGAAGGATTACTATAATGAAGGCGTCTCATAGTCACCGCCCGTTTCGCCCTTCCACAAATAAGATCCACTTCTTATTTGTGGAAGGGCGAAATGGGCGTTGACTATTAGACGCCTTCATTATAGCCATCCTTGTCTATCACATGGATTTCTATGGCTTACTTTATTGCTCTCACGTAACTTCTGATAGACCATCGGTACTTTCCTACACTGTATAATATATAAAAATTAGAAAGCCTATTTTGCTCCGAAAAAATGTCATTGGTTTTTTTACCATAACTCGGTTAATTTTGAAGCTATAGTATCCTACAAAAAAGCATTTTAGAGATAATTTCAAGAGCTGTAAGATCGTTTGCATATAAAACTCGTTTTTTAAAGGGAAAAGATCGAAGGGCTCGAGACAGGTCGTTTTTTTTTCACTAAAATGGATACTTCAAGCGGCGATATCTTTATTTTTTATGCTATAGGAATAAAAAAAAGCAAAATATTTGTTGAAAAAAAAGCTACATTTTTGTTGTCTATCATTTTTTACGTATTTTTCATAGTTTCGGAGTTATTATATAAATAAGTCAATTTTTTTTTGAATAATGAAAAATACGTTTTCAACTTTTTCCGTATGTTATTTAAAAAATACGCATTCTAAACCGATCTAACTTCAGGATCGTATGAAAAACACTAAAATAAAACTAATTGTAAAGGGTCTGCGATTAATTTTAATTCTGATGAAAATGGTACAAACGCTGTACCATTTCCATCAGAATTAAAATGCTCATTTTTCCTTAAAAAATATGAGCAACCCATCTGTTTTTGACGATAACTCCTTCAATTTTGCTCTCATTAACTTTTATGCTCATTTTGAGTACTACAAAAAACTCCCGGATATACGTAAAATTAATCCTTTTTCCGTTATTTGACGTTGAATACATCGATTCGAGTATTCCCCCAAAACAAGTCCCCTTCCACAAACCATATTTCGCTTTGTATAGGACGTACGTTTATTTATATGCTACATTTTTGTTCATTACACTTTTTTTAGTAAAATGCGTAGTTTTTGAGTTATTCGCGAAAAATATTTTGGAAAAGTTGTTTTTTTCACTCAAAATTCCAAGTTTTCAATCGTGAATAACTAAAAAACTATTGATTTCTCGAAAAAATTCTTCGAATATTTTTTGCTCGAAATTTGATTCTCTATCGATTTCCAGATTTATTTTTGAAAAAAAAATTTCCACCCCCAACAGGGTGGAAGCGTCAATCGGCGCTGTCACTAATGTCCATTGACCTTTTCTCTAACTATCTGCCAAATTTCAAGTCGATCGGTTCAGTTTCAAAGAATTCGTAGGTGAAAAATGACTGTATCTACTAATAGTCTTCTACATGATGGTGAAAAAACGGTGAAAGAAGTAGTTCTATATTTTTCTTTGTTCTTGATTCAGAAAAGGAATTAGAAAAAATAATTTTGAAGACTGTACCTCGAAAGCGAACCTTTTTACAATCCTCAATTATTATTTCCTAATGGGATCTTCTACCGACTTAAAATGTGGCCACAAAAACCTAACTCGCCCTGTAGAAGTAAAATTTGAAAAACAATCACTTTTACTTCTTTTTGTTTATACCATTAGGCTTTCTTTGTTATTATTTGACACTAAAAACAATCATTATATTTTTGTTCTTACGTTATATTTAATTTCATCAAATTAACAACCATGGACCATTGACCTATTCAAATAATTAAACAACTGTTTGTTGACCACCCTGTACGACTGACTGTCTAATGTTTGCGCAAAGCATTTGAAACTAGGTGTCTGTTATTGTTTTGATAATGTCATGTTTATAACTACTACGTCCATTGTATATTTTTTATTGTATATATTTTATCGTCCAATCCAAATTACTCATCAAATCTGTTTTATTGAGTCGTATCTATAATTGTCGCTGTTATCGCGAAAAAGTTAGCATTTTGTCTAGTTCAGGTAGCAAACAATGAAAAATAAAATCACGTAGGTACGTGTATACCTGCAGAAACTTAAAAAAAAACAGTGTAACAGAATTTTTGTTGCCACAATTTAGGAAAATATCGATTATTAGAAAGAATTTAATTTCAATACATTTGCAATTACTAGGCAATTGATATATCCTTCTAGTTATACAGGATGTCCTAATCTATAGGTGTACATCAAGCAACTAAGTAAAAATATTTTTTTATTAAATGAAACTCAATAATGTTCTTTTTTAAAACCATAACATGCTACTAATTAAAAAAAAAAATATATAGAAATTTTTTTATCCAAAATTTCACATCCCTAAAAATGGTCCCCTATCAATTTATATAAAGGTTATTTTGAAATGTTGTTTACAAATTGCTAATAAAGTGTTTCTAAAATTGTCACAACCAACCAGGCTTATGATTTGTAATTTTAAAGTAGTTGTAAAGGTTTATTTTATAAAAAATACCTAGTTATCGTTTACTTTTTACGTATTGTTATTGTACTATTATCAATCAGGACACATTGTATATAATTTAGGATATATCATTTATATCTAGAAAAAAATTTCCTGTTAACGAAGATATCGTAAAAATAACGAACGGGTGAAGGTCATTAATGTTACATAAAATGCTATTCAACCTTATACAAAATTCGGTCTTTTGTATAATTTTGTACAATTTTTGATTTCTGTCGCTTTCTTTTTGTTGCTCGTCAATCTCATCATTACTTCCTAAAAAGGACTGGAATTCCCGAAATTATCAACGACATTTGTTATCTTAGTTTTTATTACGGTGATAGCGAACACTACACAGGGTCTTAAATGAGCTTGTTGTCAGATTATTCGGTAAATATTGATTAGATAATAGCGAAAATAACAGCTGCAAATTTATAGGCCTTTCACCTAAAAATGTATAGGGAATAATAAAAAAATTATGAATGACTGAGGTATTAAGAGAAGAAGCTTATGCAAGGTTTAACTGAAGTGTAAATTAACTACAAATTCCTATAAACATGCCTCGGAACACTTCTTTTACAATATAGGGTGTTCAAAATTAACTAAAGTATGTGATTTGTTACATGTTGCAAAAGCATTTGTAAACTACTGTATAGCTCACGTGAATTATAATTATTTTTATTTAATAATTAATTCGATGTTTTGACACTAGCACTAATTAAATTGCCTAGATGTGGTCTAAGACTTTATCACTTATCTCGAAAATGTACATTCTAGCAAAATAACAGTAATCAAACATTTTTTGAGTGTTCAATACTCAGTTATAATAGCAATTTTGAAACGGCTTGAACGAAAAACGGAAGTTACTATGTCCACACCTGA